TTCTACTTTGGGTGCTGCTCTACAATGTTTAGCGATGAATGCAAGTGGATATCCGTTCGCGTACAGAACATCCTTTAGGAGGTTAATTTCGTCGTTTATATATCGTGTAAATGGAAAATGAAAAACGGTCTGATCAGCTGCTCGGTGGCGTAGTGGGTAGCTTGCGTTCTGCCCATGAAGTCCCGGGTTCGATCCCCAGTCGGGTCGATGGATTCGCACTGCTGATGAGATCCAACCAGGTCGAAACAGCTGTCCAGTGCTTCCGAGCTTTTCAGTTCACGCTTCATTTGCTATATACACGACGAATTCACATTTGAAATATATATATATATATATATATATCTTACCAGGCTACCCCTAAAGCCTGAGTATAGTCGGGAGTGGGTGTTTAGGGTTGCGCCTGGTCACCCTTCCCTTGCACCTCGCGAAATGCTCGCATACGACCTAGTGTCTCGAATAGCCTATGCTGAGGAAACCAGTGAGTAGGACAGTGGCCTTCTAGTGGCAGAGGTGTTTTCCCCCCAAAGTGAGAGGAAGAAAAGCCGACATCCGGGGTAATAACCGGGTTGGTGGACCACCTTGGGGAGTTGGCCAAAACACTGATACCAAACCAACTGCGAGGAGGCGTACGAACCAAACACAACTTCCTGGTTGTGGCAATGGTCATCGACTCGATTAGGCATGGAGGTGTATGGGGCAGCTTGAACGTTTGATACCGTATGCTCCGGTATGCGTATGCTCCGGTTAACTGAACACCGGCCTCCAATGGATTGCGGTTTTCATAAACCGTCCCGCTGCCTTGCGGGTCAGGCTTTGGCTAGCCAAAGGCTCCGGTTGTGGATTCCTCAAGAGAATTCACCTACTTTGGCCGGGCAACCTGGCAGTATTCAGCCCACAAGCGAATCATAGAACGTTTTTTCTTTTTTATAACGAATATGTTACCACGATTTCGTTGGCACACAGTCTCTCCTCAGACAAGTATGAAATATAATAATATAATACCGTTGAACGAAAGCTATTGCATTCAGTCACTGACTATGGATTTATCACGATTGATTCTATAGTACACTTCTAAGTGACGGATCATTAACGGGGGGGGGGAATTGTTTTGTAAACAATTGACGAACAGACTTAACTGAAACAACGTAAACATAAAACCTTCTCATCTATTGAAAAGTTATTCAATCAGTAAATCTATTCATTCAAGACAAAGACTTAGATATTTTTTGCAAGTCTAAAATCAACTAGTGTTGTCGGTTTAGTGCGACCCAATCAAACAATGCGTTCTGAAGTAATAAAGGAATTTACAGTGAAATTCTTCGTGTATACAGTAAATAAAATATGAAATGAAAACTAGATGTACCACTGTTTCGACTGTGTCGGGTCTCCTCAACACTGCATATCCATAGACCCGACTGGGAATTGAACCCGGGATCTCACAAGTAGAATGCAATTGA